TCCAAATTCAATTATTCATCCTTCCTGGGGAAAATTTATCTTCTCGGCTGCAGGTATTGTTACTTTGCAATGTAATGCAATCTGAATTTTTGTTTACTTGGGAATGTGTATTTTGTTGGGCTTTTTGTGATTTTTTGGTTCTGATCAAGAGTTTCTTTACAGATTTGCTCGTTGGCTTCTTTATATGGGTCATTTTGAAGCAAAGAAAGGTGCCTGAAGATTTATGTACATATGCTGTGATGGTATGGCTCCTGAATCCATTCACATTCACCATTGGAACCCGTGGGAACTGTGAGCCCATTGTTTGTGCCATGATTTTGTGGATTATTATCTGTCTCATGAAGGGTATATTTCTACTTTCATACTTATTTTTTATATGCATGTGGTGATATTCATACTTTGTTAGAAAATAAGTCTTGTATCTATGTTGGAGACCTATTGGCAATTTTAAGAGAATTTCCATCAACCAAGCTAATTAAATTGTCAAATTACAAGGATATAATGATTTTTCCCCCCTTCTGCAGACCTTGTTGAATATTTGCAGTTGTGCAATGCCATATATCGGTATTTAACTCTATCCACACTATCATTTTTCACGTTGACAGGTAGCATCTTGCAAGCTGCATTTTGGTATGGGTTTGTTGTTCACTTCAGGATTTATCCCATAATTTATGCACTTCCCATTGTCATTGTTCTCGATCCACACTTTTTTCAATCTGGCCTTAGGCCCATTCTCTGGCATTGGACATCTGCTCAAGCAAAGGATTCACAAATTGATTCAGAAGTGATTGACCGTCATGATATGTGGACTGCATTTAAAAGCATATTCACAAGAGAGAGAATTATGTTTGGATTGGTCTCAGGGAGTGTCCTCTTTTTATGGACTGGTCTCTTTTTCTATTTGTATGGATGGGAATTCCTTCACGAGGCTCTGTTATACCACCTTACTCGAACAGATCCAAGGCACAACTTTTCCATCTATTTCTACCATATCTATCTGCACTACGAGCATGAACTATCAGTACTGGAAAAGCTCATCTCATTTTTGCCCCAATTGATAGTGCAGCTGGTTCTTATTTCCTCCTTGGCAAAGGATCTCATATTCTGCTTTTTTGTACAGACAGTGGCATTTGTAGCTTTCAATAAGGTTGGTTTGTTGATTATTACCTGTTCAATTCTTCTTTAGAACCTTAAACATACTTCTTTTCTTTTCTATTGGTAAGCCATAGGAAATTAATGCATTTAAAAAGAAGGCGTCCTGTCCTCAGATCCCAGCCACCGCCTGCTGTCTAGGTGTTTGTGTTTTCTTCAGAAGGTTCTACATGTGAACACAATATCCCAAAAGAAAATAAACCATGCATTGTATTGAAGCATTCTTGGGGCTTTGAATTTTTTTTTTTCTTTCCAGTTAAATCTCGTATACATATTTTTACTGATTTATGCCTTTGACAGGTTATTACAGCCCAATATTTTGTGTGGTTCTTTTGCTTGTTTCCTCTTGTCTTGCCATGGAGTACTATGAAGCTTAAATGGGAAGGCCTTTCTTGCATTCTTCTATGGATGGGAGCTCAAACCCATTGGTTGATGTGGGGTTACCTGCTTGAGTTCGGAGGCAAGAACGTTTTTCTACAGCTTTGGGTGGCTAGCTTAATTTTTATGGCTGCTAATACGTTTGTCATGATAATGACCATCCAGCATCATAGATACTCCCCACTATTTAAATGCCTTGCAAAGTCCAAGAATTCTGTGAAAATTGAGTGAGGAAATGACCCTGCAACCATTGTAGATTTGGGGATTCCCTTTGTTTAACTAAGGTTTTGACATTAATCCTATTAGAACATTTGACTAACCATGTGAAATTTAATTTGCAGCAATTCATTTTTCTGTCAAGATTGTTGTAGCAATTTGAGGGTTCTGAGTTTGTAACTCTATGTAGATTAGCTTGTAGAAACAGGTAGTAGAGGGTTGAAACCATTGATGTTTAGCAAGCATAAGTTAATCAAATTATATCTTTTGTTAGTTTCTGGTATTTTGTTTTTGATTATTAGTCCAGAGAAAGAGTATTTTTTGTTAAATCAAGTATTGTTATGTTTTTTTTTTCTCACTTTTTCATCTTCCTACAATTACAGCTCAAACTAAACCAGTATTTAGGGCAACTACTTTCTGTACTTTTAACTTAGAATTTAAATTGCATGTACCTAAACACATTTATGGTATCATATAACCGATGAAGTCTTCTTCAGAGTATGTGTGTTTTTGGATGACTAGAATTTGAAACATTGGTATTGAAGTCTGAAGAAGCCCAGAGATCCCAACAATCCCCAGCTCTGGGCACTCCACTTGGTAAAATCGTAATAGATGAGTTCCATCGCACATCCTTACCTACCATAAAAAATCAGTAAATTTCCCTTATTCTCTTGTGGCCATAGTTTCTGCCCCATTACTTAGTAGAAGGAATGCAGCAGGCAAGTGAGTGACACAGGAACATGCATACTTTAGGTTTCTTTGATCCTACCATTCTGCATTGGTGAGCTTGAAAGTGCTTTGAAGGTTCATTCTAACCCTTTAAAATCCAGTCTTGTAATTGTGCCCCAATTGTATATCTTGCTAGAAAAATTTTCATTGCAGTAACTTTCTTAGAGATGTGTGTTTATAAATAGAAGTTAAATTAAGTTGAAGGAAACAGCTGATGGTTATGTTTATTTTGCCATTGAAGAATAGTCTCGAGTCGAAGTTTTCATAGTGAGATAATTCAGCATTCACACTGTTGTATCACTGTTGTTTCTTTGGGATCCAGCTGGTATGGTGTGTAGCCTGCTGGAGTAGTATATGTAGTTTGCTGTTATTTGTAGGCGCTGGTCTATTTGTTGGTTTTAGTAGGGTGGATTTTTTAGGCCATGTTTCTTGGGTAGTAGCGAAAATATCTAACTTGATTACCAGTGTATGTATTAGTATTCATGGTTGTTTATGGGTTGGAATATCTTTTGTACTTGTACTCAATTAATAAAATTTTGTTGGCTGTTCAAAAAGAAAAAAAAAAAATCAATCTTCTCAAGTTAGGTGCCAATGTGCCATGGTTTATTTTCTTAAAGATTGCACAAGGGTTAGAGTTGCCATATTTTTTATTGTTTTCTTGTATTTAATAAAAATTTTATAGTAATAAATTCAAGTTGAATTGAATACAAATCCATTTTTCATTATTAAAAACTTTTTTGTGTGAGTTGTTTAATAAATTATATTATAAAAAAAAAATATCGATCTTTGCCCCTGCTTCTTAGTTGAAAACATTATCAAAAAGGTAAAATAAACAGAAAGTTGAGGGAAGTAGACACCGCTGAGTGAAGAGTGCCCTATATATCAAAGAGAGGACGTGGTGGCAGTATAAGCCAGGCTGTGTAATTGGCGCCCTGCCTGAAAGCTATGTTGGGAAAGTGTTTGGTAATTGGTACGCTACCCCTTTTATTCGATTTCCAATACTTCAATTGTTTGTGTCAAACAGGACCTTAAACTTAAAGGCAGCATGTGCTTGCTTATTAAACTGTTACAACAGCAACAAAATACAATCTTTGCTTGGATCCTAGCAACAAATCGGCATAAAAAATCAAAATCCAACCTTCTTTTTTAATCGACCAATTGCAAAAATAAATTAATATGAGTACAAGCATTAAAGATATTACATTCTCACAAGCAAATTAGGATACACAAGAACTCACATAACATAAAACCATGGTAACTATCTGCCTGTTGTACTTATTATTGCTTGGCCAGGTAGTTGTTGTTTTTTTCTGGCGAACTTCAACTCTTTCCTATATTCATCATCAAACTTGCACAAAGCCATGGTAAAGTATTCCTATCATGAATGGAGAAAATGCAGGCCACAGATTTATTTTTCAGCCACACAGATGTCTTCACTTGAATCAATCTAACAGCCTCCCTTGGTCAAGTTGAGTTCCTATAGGCATAAAAAATCAAAATCCAACTAATTTTCATCAAAGTCTAAATACATCCTATAGGCATCTCGATCAGAAGAGTAGTAACTTTTGATCAAGCTGTCAACTTGAAATCCCAGCTTCTTGTAGAGACCCATAGCAGGTGACCTCAGGGGATCAACATGAAGTGAAATTCATTAGATGGGTCTGCTTCTGCACTTCTCAATAGCTGCTTTAAGTAGTGCGTCCCCATGGCCTTGCCTTCCATGACTTTCCTTCACTGTTTTGTTCTCCATCAACCAAAATAGTGGAGCAAGAGAGAGAAAAGAAACAACGATGTTAGAGATGAAGAAATTTCACATAAATTATGAATTAAACAGATAAGGTGTGTTTGTTTGGGCTAATTTAATTGGTCTATAGCTTTCTTTCCTCAAAGAGCCCCGGTTAAAGTGCTTGGAAACATTACCCTATAAGGCGATTTCAAAATGTTAATAAGTAATAAATATTAACAAATAGCTATCAATTATTCTTAATCAAACCAAATAAAGTCATGGTTTCTCGCTTCTGGTTTCATTCAAACAGTTTTAGATTCTCGTTAAAATGAAAACTAGTCTTCGCGATGGAAATAGGTCACTGGGGAATTTTATCAAACAAGTTGGGGGTGTCCCTCAGTTTTCTCAAGTTCATAAGAAATACATACTGTTTCTTGATAAAAAACACGAAACCTGTTAAGTACATGGCAAAATTGAGAGGATTAGAAACCTGCAAGTTCTGTGATAGATGCAGAAAGTGACGAAGGCCAGGAATACATGACGTAGCCGGTGACTTCTCCATCAAGATCGACGTAAAGCAATCCAGAGTTCCTCTTTTTCAGTTCTTCGTCAAAAGGATTTAGCAAGGGATTCGTGTTTTGGGAATATCTTTTTCTCCAACTTCACAATTTCTTCCACCAACGTAACCCAATTCGTTGAGTTTCTTTGCAGCTCCACCACGGTCCACCTCTCCATGCTTGGATTCTTGCTCAGGAAGGTAGCAGCTTACATTTTGAAAAAGAAGATTAAATACACTCCTTTAAATTATTATTGTTATTATTATTGTTATTATTATTATTTTTAAAGTTTGAATACGGAGAAAACATTTACACGAGTAGATCATTTGGTTTTAGAGAAAGTAGTGATTAGTAGGGACAGAAGTTAGGACTTTAATAAGAAATTTCGCCCCTGAACACAATTTTCTGGCGGGTTGATCCCATCTATTATCCCTCTATTATAAAAAATAATGCAATTTAACCTTCTATTATAGATTTTCCTTATGTTCTCCTTCTATTATTAATTAATTTCTTCTGTCCTCCCTCTACAATGCAAAAACATATCAATGTCATCCCTCCTCCGTTTAATTTAAGCTAACGGTATTATTTATTGACCATTTAAACGCAAAACCATCACAAGTTTAAGCCTTTTTTTAATCTTTTTTTGTCACCGTGTCTTGTGAGTCCCACCCTTGCCACATCATCTCTCACCCTTTAACTTCAGTCTTTGCTTTTTTTTTTTTTTTTCCTCCTTTGCAAATCCAGGAAACCACGCAACAACTACCACCCCAACCGTTCGATCGTCTCTACCTGCCCAGCCACGAACCCTCTCGATCTCACCTCCGTCTCGGCCTACGACAACACCAGCTTCGACCCGTCTCTCCACTAGATCTCCATGCCTGAGCTAGCTGGCGCTACCAAGAACTTTTCGTCATAATTGGTGACGGCAGCGTCAGACTCGTCTACAAGGCCACTCTCTCCAACAGCGTCACCTTTGCCATCAAGAAACTCTATCGAGATGCCTTCCAGGGCCTCCATGAATTCTGGGCCGAAATGGAAATGCTCGAGAAGCTCCGCCACCAGAACATAGTGAAGATTCTGCGTTACTGTTCGACGAGTCACGATCAGATTCTTATCTACAAGTTTCTTGTAAAAGGAAGTGTGGACCAATGGCTGCATGACAAGTCATCACTGAAGAAGCGCGGATTGGCGGATTGGCGGATTTGCGATCGCCGTATCTTGGAAGACAAAGATTAAGGTTGTAAGAGGGATGGCTAATGAGCTGGCTTATTTACATGGGCTAGACACCCGTTATCCTAGAACACGAAGATTAAGGTCGTAAGAGGAAGGCTAAGGCAAGTTCACTATGTGAGAGATGATGTGGCAAGGGTGGGGCTCACAAGGCATGGGTGGCAAAAACAAAGATTAACAAAGGCCTAAACATGTGACCGTTTGCACTTAAACGATCAATGAACACTATTATTAGCTTAAATTGGACGGAGGGATGACATTGGTATGTTTTTGCATTGTAAAGAGAGAAAAGATGAAATTAATTAATGGTAAAGGGAGGATATGAGGGAAATGGATAGAAGAGGGTTTAAATTGCACTATTTTTTATGGTATAGGGATGATAGATGGCATTGCTCCGTTTTTGTCCTTGCTGTTGTTTTCTCTTAACCACCACCATATCAGAAATAGGTGTTTTTGCCCTGATTCTTTCTCCTTTTTTTTTTTTTTAATATTAATTAGGTATTGAATAATTTGGTTTAGGCCCTTGAATGTAAGGTTAGAGCCCTCCCAATTTGATGGTTTTTGTTCTGTAATTTAATTTATATAATTTGAAATTATGGAATACAGAACTTTTGTAAATAAATAAACAAATATTATTTTCATATAATTTATTAAATATGTGAGGAAGTTGTGTTTCCTGCAAGTCAAAATATACAAGTATACAATCTCGAAGTCCACCAAGCGAGCTGATGAGCCGCGCGCCTCATTGAAGGAGGTGGAATGTTTATCAAATTCAGAGATGAAATCTTCAATTACTAACAACTAATAAAATTAACCTATTAACCATTGTCATTATAAAAAATATATATATATATATATATACAACGTCAGTACAGCTCCGTTTTATTGCAATACAAACAACTCCTCTTT